GCTGCCGAGTTCTTACTTGTTGACTGGGCCTACCGGTTTCCACGTACTGGTGTCTCAAGCCTGAATAACCTTGTTCATGGTGTCATTCTCAATCCCGACTTCCAGTCCAGTACTGCCTCTCTCAGTACGTTCAGTGCTCAGACTTCGTTTAGCAAACTGGACAATACATCCGAGTCGACCAATCCAGAAAAGACTTCCCTATCCGATGATTCCGATCAATCGCTCCCTTTTCTTGATGTTGCACCTGATGCATGGTATAGTGGCTCGGTTAAGATTCCTGCACCCAAAGCGGGCTGTAGTTTTGAATCTGAAGCTGAGGCACCACATCTTGAAATTGATGAAGTGTGGTACCGCAAGCCAATGGATGCGATTCGTAATTCATTCCAGGAGAAAATTTTCTATGAATACCATCTCAAGTCTTTCAAGTGGTTTTGGAAAAGAACAAGTGATGGACACATCGAGCGGGTATATAGCGAGGCCTATACTTCTGATCGGGCATCGGAAATGGAACAAGATTTACACAATAATTTGCCACCTGCTGCTGCCGCAGACCCAAGTATCGAGAATGTCATTGTTTGGATTATGCTTTGGTCCGACTCTACACATCTAGCTCAGTTTGGGACAGCTTCTCTATGGCCGATCTATATGTACATTGGGAACTTATCAAAGTATGTCCGGGTTAAACCGAGTGCTTATGCAGCACATCACCTTGCGTATATCCCATCGGTACGTATCATTTTTTGAATACTGTTTGATTTAATTTCTAATAGGTGTACTCATAGCTACCTGATCTCATTAAGGACAAGTACTTTGAGATTTACGGATCAAAGCCAAGTGATGCAGTCATACGATTCTTGAAACGTGAATTATTCCACGCTATCTACTTTCTCCTCCTGGATCCCGAATTTCGCGAGGCATATTTGAATGGTATGCTGGTAACATGTGCCGATGGAATACTTCGAAGATTATTTCCTCGTTTATTTTCATATTCTGCGGATTACCCGGAAAAGTGAGTTTATATTTATATCTCAACCTATATTGGTATATTGGTATATTAACAAATATATAACAGGGTACTTATTGCGTGCATAAAATATTTAGGGGAGTGGCTTTGCACTCGTTGTCTGATACCCATGGATGATGTACATCTTTTGGGTTTGAAGAGGGACATGATCAACCGAGGGAAATTAAGACGAGAGTTTACTGAGAATCACAAACGGAAAATCGAGGACGCACGAAGGTTTATTTTCGAAGATGGATATGGTGTTGAAAGTGAGGCGGTCAAGAGAATTCTTGCATTTGGTTCTTTAACTCCTTCACGGGTATGTATTATTTTTACAATTTAGTACATATATCTAAAATTAATTTTAGAGTGCCTTCTCAACCCTCCTTCACGAGCAAGGTGTTGATACATTTCACATGATTACTCCGGAAAAGCTTCATGAATGGGATGTTGGAAGAATCAAGGACTTTGTCACTCAAGTGGTACGGATTATGCATTGTTTGAAAGGCGATGTCATTACTGCATTCAATCGAAGGTTTTTGCCTTATGTTTCTGTACCCTCTATTTGTTTATTGATTAATCTCTTAGATTTCGTTGGGTTCCGACCTTTGGACGGGGTATTATCCGCCGATTCCATAACAATGTCTCGGAAATGAAAAAATTGGCAGGCCGGGATCACACTGCTATACTCGAGGTAAGTTGTTTTGATTCAGATTATGTACTAGCAAAATGATAATTTTTGTAGTGCTTGATGCCAGTGATGGAGGGGCTTTTTCCGGAATCTCAAGACGAAATTATTTCCGATATAATCTTTGATTTGCTTGTCTGGCACTGCTATGCTAAACTTCGTATGCATACAGACACGACTCTTCGAGCTTTTGAAATTGCGACAAGAAAACTCGGTCAAGCATTTCGGCGTTTTGCAAGGGAGATTTGTTCTGCCTATGACACAGTTGAACTCCCTCAGGAGAGGGCCACACGACTCAAAAATGAAGCTCGCAAAGAGAAGAGAATTAATTCCGAGTCATCGAAGGAAAAAAAACGTACATTCAACAACTCAACAGCAAAAATGCACGCACTTGGTGATTATCCATGGGCCATACGATATTATGGAACTACAGATGGTTGGGATACTAGAGCTGTAAGGCATTACTTATCAATGTTTGGGCATGAAGCTTAATGTATTTAATTACAGGGTGAACAGGAGCATAAACGAGTGAAGTCCTACTATGCTCGTACGAACAAGAACAAACACGCGGCTCAGATAGCACGACATGAGCGTCGAGTTCGATGTCTACGGCGGATTCAACAACGCAATGATACTGTGTCTCGTACAAAACTGTCAGTCGGTGCTTGGGAAGAAGAACGGGTGCCCAATACCGATCCTTATTTGCGGTATCATATGGCATCTGGTAAAAAGTTTTTTTTAGATCTCGCAGAGTTTATCGATGATCATCGGAGGGATCCTGCAACCACGGTGCGTAAAATTACCTATACATCATTTAAATAAAAGCCTGAAATATTTTCGGAAGGACTTTTTACGGAACCTGAAGCATTACATCCTCAATCAACTTTTCAACAAGGATGAGTTTACGGAAGAGGAATATGCCGCACTCACTTTTGAGAACAACCGACTATACAAGCACAAGGTGGTCCGAGTCAATTATACGTCATATGATTTGAGACGTGGTCAGGATTCAATCAACCCGAGAACACATCCAGACATAATGGTTCTTTCCTCCCCCGGATCCGATCACCCCTTTGCCTATGCCCGCGTTGTTGGAGTGTTTCACTGCAATGCTCGCTTCTCTTCACCACGTAACTCCCAACTTAGGTCGATACCCCTGAAGCATGTTGATATGCTTTGGGTTCGATGGTTTGAATATGACACAGAGTACATGGCTGGATGGAGTGCAAGGCGCTTACATCGAGTCAAATTTGTTCATGCGACTGATCCCACTGCTTTTGATTTTATCCATCCATCTGACATTGTACGAGCTGTACATTTAATTCCTTCATTTACACACCTCGGCACTGACAGTGGACTTCCGCCTACCTCTGTTGGACGACAATTCGAGTCAACTAGTTATGCAGGACCTCGAGAGCTGGAAGATGATGATTGGATGTATTACTATGTTAATATGTAAGCGCTCTATGTCCTTTGATGATAAAAATACTCACCTTGCTTTGTTTAAGGTTTGTCGAGAGTGATATATTTATGCTTTTCATAGGAGGAGGTATTGGACATCAAGAGTTACATGAGAATCTCCGTACTTTTGCAGTAGATGCAGGACTTGAAGATTTGGATCTTCCGGATTATGATTCTGATGGAAATGAGATTGGGTTGGGAGATGACTTGGAACCAGAAGTGGATGTGGATGAGGACTTGGAGGATTTTTTGCCCATGGGTGAGCAATCTGACATTGGATCACAGGAAAGTTCCGAGGAGGAGGAGCTTGAACAATCAGATGAGGAATGGTTAGATTGCTTTGGTCCAGAAGATGGTGATGATGGACTTAATATTGGTTTGGAATGATAGGATGTATTATTCAATTTATTTTTGACTCTCTGCAGATGTAGAAATTAGTGATTGACATGAGTTGGGGTTGTCCATGAGTATTCACAAGTACACCTGTAGAAATACCACAAGTACTTTACTCACAAGTACAAGTACCTGTTTCCCATGGGTCATATGCAAGTCACAGGTCAAGCCTTTAGAAGCTACAAGTATTGTCCAAGTACTTGCCTGGGAAATGACTGTGTTTAGATTATTGAAGGTTTTACTGACCATGGAATTCTTGAGCTCTTAAGATTTGATAGAAAGATAACAACATCTGAACCAGAGATGTTCACACAAGCATTCAAAAGTTGCAATTATTATTCGAGTCCTTGGATACCTGCTGCACCATCCAGGTTTAAATACAACATATCCAAGTAAATGAGTACAATATCAGTCTTATTCCATCCAATATCAAGACATATTGACACTTTTGCCACATTTTTCCAGACTACAACAGCTTGTTCATTTTCTCATCACCCACAAGTAATACCCTCCCTATTCTGACAGATCTTTTATGTACAGTAATGCCACAAGTACTCAACTTCCAAATTTTGAGCCTGTAGCTGTTGCCAGTCAATTTCTGGGGTGTGCCCAATACATGGTAGATCCAATATTGACATTTTTCCATCCAACATTGACATTTTCACAGATTCAATATACATATCCAAATCCAGATTGGTTTAACCATTGTGTTATTGAACTCTATAGTTAAAAAATTATTGACAACTGAATCTCAACTTCACACCAATATCAGATTCATGGATTTTATGTCATCATAAATGGATATCTAGGATGGCTTTGAAAATTTGAAACAGCTATTTTCCTGGACTCAATTAGGCTCCTAAATATCCCGTCTGTAATATCTAAGCCTCCCATGTACTACTACACAAAGTACACTCCATTCTTTACTAGGCATCACTCAACATCTAGACTCCAAATGTTCAAGATATTCAGACAAATATTGTGATGTCAAAGCAACACAATGTAATACTGGTATGGTGACTTAAACTAGGTTGTTGAATTAAAACATGAAAATGAGATTTTTCCTGATGTCAAAAAGGTATCTCATTACCCTCAGTGTGACTTGAGATGATATACCTAGTATCATCATCTTATCATTGTGACACTACATGACACTTGTCTTAAATCATGATAGACCATGATGAGCATCTACCATTGTGATATGAAATGATACACTTATGGTCACCTTTTGACATTATTCTAAAGCCTTATATATCCCCGTCACATTAGATATTGGTTTAGACATTTTGGTGATGTAGCCTCAAATACGGGACTGGTACGTCAAATGAAGGACCAAGCGTTTTGCGAAAATTGAGTATCGCAACGAGAAACAACCTTTACCTCCATGCCATTGGATTCTTAGTTTTGAAACTCAAGATAGATACCCTGAATGTGGCAGGTACGTGATAACACCAAGGCGAGATGGCCGAGCGGTCTAAGGCGCCAGACTAAGGTCCAGGACGAGAACGTCCAAATAATCTGGTCCGAAAGGGCGTGGGTTCGAATCCCACTCTCGTCAGTTTTCTGATATTCCGTGAAGATTTTTGAGGTATCCTGTTAGTAAACCTTGTGTACGGGTAATCGTGGCTGATGACCAACATAAAAAAACAAGAAACATTTCAGATGACTATCCTGTAGTACTGTAAAGGCAGAAACAGATTGCACTTACCCGCAAAAATTGTTAGACAGTGAATGCACACATTTCCTGATAGAATAGACATTGTTATTCCAATCGATGATGGCATGAAAGTGAGTACACAGTTACTAGTTGAATAATCTGCAGTTATTACTTGATACATGACAGTTGAGTGAAGAAGAGGGGTATATTGATGTGAGAGTTCCCAGTTGCAAGACCAAGACCAAAGCAAAGAGAAAAAAATGACAGCAGGAAAAGACCAATAAGAAAGTTAGAATTTACATCTCAGAACCTAGTCCACCGGCCTCATCTCCGGCCCCATCCTCCAAATCTCCATAACAGTCTTCCCTGCTCTCCGACCCATGACGGCGCATATGTCTTTCCTATCTTGTCCTCCATAGAAACAACCACTTCCACAATCTCGAACACTATTCCTCTCCACACTGCCGGTTTCGCCGTCATCCTCGATGTTATTGGCAGTGATAGGTCCTCCCTTGACATCCAGTACATAAGGGTTCAGATTTTTCCGATCCACGCGCTCACCCTCACCAATACCAACACTATCGGGACCGACAAAACAGGGCCCGCAAGCCACCTTCCAGACACCCTCCCTAGGAAGACCCAACCCTATCGCTTGAGCTTCTTCGTTTATTCCGTTCTGTTTCCTATCCCCCTTACCGGCCTTCTTCGACGACCGGGATCCCGAAGGCGAAGTAGAAGGATCTACTCCAACCTCAGCTACCAACGACCCTCCAGTTCCTCCAGTTCCCTTGCCTCCAGCTAGATCCCATAACCTCACTCCACCGTCGTTTCCAGAGGTCAATAACATCGGGGTAGGCATCAAAGTTTCGTCTTTCAATTCTCGTTCAGCTACCACGTCTCCCTCCCAGCTAGTAGATCTGGACGAGCCGTTCAAATGAGAATGGGTGGAGGGAGTAGAGGAACGACTCGCGTGAGCGATAGAAGGAAACACGTCCCCTAACCCTGGACCTTCGACGAACTGTAAACCAGTTACAGCCGCTGCGTCGTGTGCGAGGATTTTGGCTATTGGCTTGTATGAAGTCGACGGTGAAGATAAAGGAGATGTTGAAGAGGAAGAGGAGGATAAGTTGTAATGTCTGAATCGAGTACTCGGGTTGGAGGTAGATGGGGAAGGGGGAGATGGTCGAATATCGTAGACGATTACCTGGCCACTGGAAGAAGCGGTGGCGAGTAGTGGGGTCGGTTTGGGTTTCTTCTCCGCCTTTTCTGTCTTGGTAGAAGGGGTATTGGTGGAGGACAAGGTTGAGCCCTTACCAATGAAACAGGAAGGATTCCCCCACATTTCTGTTCCGGGCGAGAGCTGAATTTGACAGACGAGCGACGTGTGGTTGGTCAAGAGCGCGATGCATTCGCTGGATACCGAGTGCCAGTTAGTGGTCGAAAATACAACAAGACCAAGCAAGAAGCAGGGATGAGAAGAATTTAGTAGTACTTACCCTCCTTCGACATCCCAAACTCTAACTGTCGTGTCCAACCCTCCGCTAACGACTCGGACCCCATCGAAGGCGAGAGAATAAATGGGAGACAAGTGTCCTGAAAGAGTATGCCTAAGGACCGTCTTCTTGCGACCACTCTCAAAGTCACGGGCAATGGTTTTGCTGCCATAGCTGTGACGATCGTCGTTGACTGAAGACGAAAAAGAAACATCGTCGCGTGAAGAGGAACCCCATTCCCATCCAGGAAGACAGCTCAAATCCCAAACCCTAACCGTCCCGTCATCCCCTCCACTAACGACGACGTGTCCGCAAGTATCCATGACTCGGATGGGAGCTACGTGAGCGCCTGTTATGATTGACGTTTGGATTGCCGGGGAAGAACAGCGTGGAGAACGTCAAGAAGAGAAGTTCAAACGAGTACCACGCATGGATGTCCAGACCAAATTGAGTGGTGTAGGCATTCCAATTTCGACGAAGGAAAAAGATTGGATTGACAATTTAGGTCAGAGACGGGTCAATTAATACGGTTGTCAAAAGACATGGGTCGGGCGAGGATTCAAGATGAAAGAGGGTAGAGGGAAAGCAAAGCAATAGCAATTATTTTTTAAGAAAAAGGAGAAAATTTAACGAATAGAAACGACGATTTTGCATATGAAAACTCACGGAGTACACCTGCTTCTTCCCCACCGATTGACTTCGTCGAAGAGCTCCAACTCCCCCAGGCTCTCCCTCTCCTCAAATCCCAAACCCTAATCGTCCCATCTCGGCTCCCAGATACAGCTACTGCTCTTCCCACTACTCTCCTCATAACTCTCTTTCCAGCAACGATTTCTGCAACAACGTCGTCTCCCGAGCTCAATCCCATCCCGTCTCCAGCCTCGAGCTGAGGTTCAGCCAATCCAAATCCGGACGCAGACTCGAATTCATACCCATGTAAAACCCTTAAACACCTCACAGTCCCTTCATGTCCTTTCATCGTATATATGCACCTTCCACTCTCGACGTCCCAGAGTTTGAGCAATTTGTCGCAGCCGCCTGACAACAGCAGAGAGGACGGGTTACCGAAAGAGAGGGAGGTGGAGGTTGGTGTTGATCGGAGGCCAGGGTTTGGGCTCGGGTTAGACCCAGGCTTGGAGTAGGCTCTGGAACAACCATGGGTAGAATTGGCGGTAAGGTCATTTGAAGGAGGAGGATTGGAAGGTACGGGTAGCGGTATACTTGGTAGACCTAGAGCGAGTCGGAGGTCTTCAGGAAGGGTCCTAGAAGGGTCGTCAGGGTATTCAATCCCTTTCCATTCCCATTGTCGTTGTCGTTCCGGAATGACAGTTTCCTGGTCATGTTCCTTCTCCTTTCCTTTAGATACATTCTTCATTTCCTCATTCTGTTCTTCCTTCTCCACATTCTCCACATTACCTATACTATCCCCGGCCCTGAAATCTCCATCCTCCATCCCAGGACCAGAGTCTCGATACCCTTCGGTCAACCCTAGGGCCCAAACTCCTTGATTATGGCCTACTAAGGTCCTATGCAGTACTCCTGTCTTTGCAGAAAACACATGTATACGCGAATTTGCCAATCCTACGACAACCCACTTGGACGAGAGAGTTAAAGAGGTGATTGTTGTTTGGGATTCTGATGAGGGAAACGACGAGGATGATGGGTCATTAGCGAGGATTGAACGAGATGTACTACCGGAAGAGGGCTTGCTACTCGAAATAGACCGGGAATGAGAGCTTGAGCGGAATAGTGAGGACGGAGGACTGGTAGGAGGAGGTGGGGGTGGAAGATTAGGATTAGGAATCCGAAACGAATTGGACGGCCTTTGAGTTGGTGCCGATGCAAACGGGACGCGGTGTGCTCGTAAGAGATATCCTCCCTTTTCCCAGCTTTTCAGAATCTCGACTTCGTTTTCGAAGTACTTCTTCCACCTCCACCTAGACCCAGGTAAACCCAAACCGGGAAAGTATTTCGAATCTGGACCTGGGAGTCCAAACCCGACTCTGAGACATAATCCTTTCCAGAGCTTGTCGTCCTCGGCCAGATCATTCCACCTCTTGCTGACTTTCGAAACGTGGACTAAGTCCCTGACGTCGTCGAGGAGCCCGAGGATAGAAAGAGAAAGCTCGGTGGGAAGTACGATGAACGGGTCGAATCGTTGCTCTTTCTCTTTTCCCATCTCCGTTTTATTCCAGTCCGATGGAAGTAGCGGTCCCAGCTCATCTGCAAGCATCTGCAAATCCTCAGGCGGAAGGGTTGGTAGAATCGATAGGATCGTGGGTAAGAAGGGGTGTGTAGGTCTCCGAGTCGTTGCTGGTCTATTCGTTGACGAGAAGGTTGGAGAAGAGGAAGACCCTGCTGTAATCGTCGTGCTCGTTGTCGTAGTCGTTGGAGGCGGTGACGGTGCAGGCGTTGGCGGTGACGAGACAGCCACAAACAGGGACATGGCTGTCAATGGACGAACCACCTTCGTGAGTGCGGCCCGCGGGACCGAGTTGGGGTAAAATGGTCATGTGTTTATAACGTCATGAAATTTCTTCAGTGTTGCGGCTTGCCCTATAGTAGTGCTCTTTTTAGGCTTATGTTGTTAAACATAGGTCAGTCAAACGTTGACATTGAGCGCTGGCGGCATAAGGTCAAGTTACGTTCGAAATTTTGTGATTAAGGCGCTAAAATTCCAATTTCTTTAACACTGGTTTCCGTAAATCAATGGTCATTCGAATTGACGATCAACCAGTGTTGATGTTACGGTCCATTGTATGTATGTTTAGTAGTGCTAGCCGTACTAATTGCATTCCAAAACAAAATGTCTGTGCACTGTCTCTTATTCTTCGATGCCAATTTTCTCAAAATCCTCAAAATCGCAATGCTCTTCCTGTTCCGATTTGTCTCTGAGTCTCAAGCAAAAAATATTTCCAAATTCCATGTAAGCTAGGATCTCTTAGCAATGTTCAATTTCTTGTGTAGTTCTATGAATCGTTCATCTATTGACTTGAAATATACATGACAATCATTGGAAATTTGCTCTCTGTCTTTCTGTTAACCATTAACAATTATCTTCTCATCTTTCCCAATTGGTCGCTCTTGACTCCAACAGATTCATGAGAGACATTAAGAGACACAGGCCCTATTCTGCTCATTTCATAGTTTTCCAGATCGAGAGGAAGAACTTCATCATTTCTGGCCTAGCGAAGTCATAGATGTTAATATCAGTAAACATGATTAATGCACAGAACAACAGAGTACTTACTGGGGAGTGTGGAAATTGGGCAAATACCATATGCTCTTCATTTTGAATTGTGTTCATTATTGTTGGATCCACTGACTTGTGAAAATACTTCCTGAAGTTCAAGCTAAGAAGAATATAGTTAGAACAAAATGCTCCACCATCTGCAAAATTGAAATTAC